CTCTATAAACTTTTTTACCAATAGCAATAATCAAATTATAACAATTCTACTATATTTAATCCTGTATATCCACACTATTAAATACATAATGAGAATACAGCACGTGCATTGCATGTGCCTAAACTAGTAATTAACAAAAAGAGAGAACCCAATCTTTTATTTCCAAGTGCTTAATAACAGAAAACAAAAGCAAAGCAAATTAGGGCTTATAATTATCATGGAAATGGCGCCCTCAATACCATATATGTCTTCTCTACGTCAACAGCAAAACCCTTGCCAGTCTGCATCCAGTAATCCGCATAAGAATTTGTCATCTCAGGTATTGCTATATCCATTCTGCTTATTTTCAGTTCTTCAGATGATATCCTGTAATTATCATCCATTTTCTTAACTAAATCCACCATGCCCACGTTCACACCTTGTGGAGACATCATCAGTGCGGGTGCACCAAGGGGAAGCCTATCACCTGCATTTATCAAATCAAGAACTAACTCTCGTATTCTATAAAATACAAAACTCCTTTTTTCCTTCTTAAAAGTTACTAAAATATTGATTAAATCGCTCAAGAGGCTAAAACATTGGTGGTTATTTGTGTTCACCTCTCCAACCTTTTCATTACTTTAAGAGTGGTTTCAATGAGATATATATCAAAACGGAAATAAGTCATCCCAGATAACAGTTGAGTTTGATTAGTTATTAGCAATTACACATTTTGCCAAACATGCACAGCTCAGCCAAAATATATAATAGGAATACAAAGAGAGAAACCACCTCTGTCAACTTGCCATGTGCACCAAAACTTGCCGTAACTCCGAGCTAAATCTCTGAGTTCAGGCTTCTGAATCATTCTGGAACACGAGGATTCACCCATAGCCCTGATGTAATCTGGACCATAATAATCACATTTTTCAAAAAATAAAAGGTTTCAAATATCAAGAGAATCTGTAATACGCAATGATTATTGTTTTTTCTAATAATCCATGTGAAGGCAACCTAAATGCAAGAAAAAGAATTGGAGACCTCGTAACCATGTGAATGCCAAAGCTTCTGCTCCCGCGGACCAAGAGTTTCAAAGATCCTATCCGATATTATATACTCAACCCCTGTACAAAGATAACAACGCAAATTCCACCTTAAACATAAAACTTTATAGAGATATCTGTAAGACATAGCAAAGTGGGTGAGGATGGGGGGCAATTTTTACCGATTAGCCGTCCATTGGGGTCATCAGAATCATAAACAGCACACTGGAGGAAATCTTGATTGCGGCGGCTAACATAGTGATGAGTCTCGATTTGTCGAGTCATATCGTGGCTATATGCTCATCTGCTTGATTGGTTTCAAAGATTGCGTCATTTGAGCCCCTTTGTCGATTATATGTTGTCCCACAGTCATTGGCTTCCCCGGTGGCACGGAGCCGTCGCCGGGAGGCATTTGACCTGGGATTTCATCGCTTGAGGCCATCTCTTCTTCTTCTGATCTGATGATTTGCAGTTTTTAAGGGAGTGTAGAGGTTGTAGATAAACCCATTACTAGTAGAGCCTGTACAACGTGGGTAGTTTGTGTTGACCCCACGTATGCATGTTCATTGTTGAGGTGGCTGAATTTGTTGAAAACGGGCGTCATCAGTTACACACAGATTTGACTATCTTTCTTTTTTCTTCGACTCACACTTCATTTTAAGCGTATATGTGATAACTTTGATACAAAATGTATGGTGTATAAATTTTTTCAACTATTATATTAATAAGGAAAATGCAGTGAATATTTCTAGTTTATAAGCATATTAATATGGTATGCAATCTTTCTTTCTTGCCAATTTCAATCAACAACTATGCAAATTTTAGAATAATTGTTTTTTTTTTTCTGGTATAAAGTATCATAATGTCAACATAGATAAAAACTGTCCATTGTGACCATTTTGCTAACCAGTGAATGATAGTAGATTTTTAGCACAATGATATTTCAGTAGTTCAACATGGTACTTCACACGTAACATGATCTTTCCTTCGTCGACCCTGAGCCTACCCTGATCACCAACCAGAGACCTGACATATCTTGCGGCCATTGGATATTTCCGTAGAATCTACAATTTTCGCCAGTTTCCTAAGAGTGATACCATCTCCTTTTCTTTTATCAAGATTTTTCTCGTTCGAATGTGAAGTTGACGAACCATCAGGTATTTGTGCCATACACCGATCTCCTTTTTGTACTCCCGCTACTTTGGAGATAAGAAGTTTTGAAGTTTACAATAACTTAACATGGCAAGTTTACAAACATGCATAAAATAGAATCCCCCTTCTCCCTTCTACTTTTAGGATCACATTAATTGTGCTACATAAACAGGCTCAAAGACATTCAAAAATGGGGGGACATGTGTCGACACATGATTGAATAATTTAAAAAAAAAAAAAACAAACTAACAAATACCCAAACATGTGCTGCCAAGTGAGCCTGTCAATCTTTTCCATGTCTTTGAGCCTTTTCAATCATCATTATTGGGGTCACATACAATTTTATACAGTTTAGTTAAAGGGTGGTTACATTGTTATTGTCACCACAATTTTTATTTCATACACTACACTTTAATTGCACAATTGCACAAAAGTTTCTCAATCTTTGCTCATTGTTGTAATTATTTCTTTAACTTTTTTTCAGTCGAATTTTTATCTTTAATCTTCTATTAATTAGTATGTCTCGTTTTTTATGATGATTTATGATGAAAATATTTTTCTTTCATACTTATAAACGAGGGAAAATATTTTTTCACACTTTTTTGTTTATTTGTTTTTTAAAAATATGACCGAAAAAAGTTATTTTACATTATTTCAACGGACTTTTGGACATAAAACTATAATCAAATACAAAATGTGTTAACTAATGAAAAGTTTGAGGATATGCATGATATGAAAAATCATTACGAATATAAGTGTTATAATGAACAAAGGTTAAAAATCTCAAGTGAAATTAAAATGTGGTGCAAGAAATAAAAATTGTTGTGTGAATATAATGGCCCTTAGTTAAAAGCCTTTAGAGTGATATGTAAAATCGAATACCTATATGAGTAATCAGAACTTGTTGACAACGAAAAGACATCACGTTTGTACATAAAACTCGACACTAATGGATAATTTCATTCAATTTCTTAATAGTATGCAGTTTCTCATGATTTTTTCAGGGGAATTGGAAAATAGATTTTTTTCTTGCGAGCGTAGTCATATCTTGGAAGTTGACAGAAAAAACATTACTTATTAATATTTCTTTGTGTCATACCATACGTGCCCTCGATAAATGCACTAGAAACTGCATACTAGACAATACTAAGAAAGAAAAAGAATCATTTAAGGTTGTCTGAGTAGGGCTTTTGAGCAGATGTAGAGGATGAGCCAATTTCTTGGCATCAGATCGTATGAATGAGGTTCCGAGTTTCACTTGAATTAAGTCGAATGTCTTGAAACTTCTCTCTGAGTGATTGAGACTTTAATTCATCTTCATAGATGCTTGGATCCATTTTAAACTCCTGAACATTTATATAACCTTAAAGCATGCCACATACCGTGGACGTGGTAGGCCTCAGTGCCGGAGATGGATTAGTGCACAATAGAGCAACTTTGATCATTCTTTCTGCCTCTTCTTTATCGAAATTAGAACCCAACCTCGGATCAACTAGCTCCATAAACCTCCCTTTGTTTTGTAAAACCATAGCCTAAGACAAAGAGATTACATAAGACCTTAAAGTTGGACGATATTTCATGAAAGTAAGAACTAAAACAGGTTTTTGTGACGAAACTCCCATCTTCTGATGGGCAGAACATAAAATTTTTTTACCCAATCAAGAAGGCAAACGAAAGTATCATTGGGACGATATTTCATGTTGTTCTTTCCAGCAACAATTTCTAGTGCAACAACACCAAAACTGTACACGTCTGCTTTGTAGGTTAAGTAACCCCACATCGCATATTCAGGAGCCATGTACCCACTGCAAAACGAAAATCATCAATTGTGAATCATACATAAGCTTTTCGCTCATATTTCTCACATAGGAATTTGTTCAAATATTATACACATTGATGTTTATTTCTAATTAAGACAATGTTTATTTCTAATTAAGATGATACTGAGGAATTAAAATATTCCCACGCTTTTAGTTGCATCTTTCATGTTGTTATGAGCATGTTTGACTAAGCTTAAATAGTTAAGTCATAAGTAAATAAGTAAATTTTACAATAAGTGTTTTTTATGTCAAAGTTAGAAATAAGTTACTTATTTGTGTGTACATATATTTCTCAACTAAAGAATTACAGCATTGAAAACCAGACGAAAAAAAAAAACTCACATAGTCCCAGCAACTCTAGTGCTGATGTGCATGTTATCATCTTCGTCAAGTTTGGCTAAACCAAAATATGAAATCTTTGGGTTTAGATTTTTGTCAAGAAGAACGTTACTGGCTTTAATGTCTCTATAGACAATTTTCAATGTTGATTCTTCGTGCAGAAAAGCTAAGCCTTTTGCTATCCCGACACAAATTCTTTGTCTGGTTGGCCAATCCATTTCTATTCGCCATTCCTCTCGTCCTGTACTTGATAATTAGATACAATCATACACATGCATAAGATAATACAAACTGATATGGTATTACTACATTTTATTTTAATTACTTGAACTAAAAATTGCATGGTGCAGGTAAGAAGTGTTAAGAGATATATATCCTACATCGATAAATGATATTGACACAGACCAATTAATAAAGATTTTGGGCAACTTCTCTTAATAAGGTTGACCTTTTAAGATGAAACCCAAATTCTTAATATGGTATCA